ATTCCTGCTTTCACCGTTCTCTGACGCTGCAGTTGCAAACATTCTATGGCGAGAAGAAGGTACCAAGCTTTCTTATTCTGTGTCGTGCCTGTGATCACGTGTGTTCATGGTTCCCTAACAGGCCATCTTTCCATAAGGCAACAGCTTTTCCAGACATCAAGCAGTCCCCACAAGTGGAGTCCACGGGCCAAATCAGATGGGAGCAGGGAAGTCCATGTCAAAATCAAGTGGCACACTTGAGGCAGATTTAAACTTACTAGTGTCTTTAACGGACATTAGACGATTAGAATTTTTAAAACGAAAGTTTCCACCTATAGCAATTTTGAAACCTCCACTGAAGCCAGCTTCTTGGCAGGGGTCCTGGTCAGAGCTGGGCCTTAAACTTTTTTCGAGTAACTGATACTGGTGTTGGGGTTTAGTGTATACTTTGAGGAAATGCTGAATAAAAAAGCTACCGTGATTTCTGTAAATGTATGTTTACATGTATATTTCTAAATGAATGGGTTTTTAAAATTTGTATCTATCTGACAATCTGTAGATATTAGGTTGGGCCATACAAAATTGCCATTTTTGTATGTCAAAAATGGTCTAATAACATGGCTCCAAAAATAGCGGGCACATGTGGGCGCTGGGTTAAAGAGCCCGAGTCACTCTGTGGGGTGTACGTGCATTCGTGGACCCCAACCCTACCTATGAACCCCTACACCAGAGAGTCCAAATCCCCTGAGGTAACTTATTGTCCAGCTAGGTGGACAGAGGGACGGTATGAGAAGCAGCAGAAAGCACCATGCAATTTCGGGGCTAAGCACTAAATTTCCTCCTTTAAAACCCGTCATATTTCCTCATATTTTTTCCTTAAGAACTTCCACGTTACCTACAGTCTAGCTTATGCACGCATACACGCACTCAGAGTAATTTCCTGAATGTCAGGCACAAATGCTCACACAGTAAGTCTGGGAGCAGAACAAAGGCAGAGCCCGGAAAATGAGGGATTGCTACCAATGGGCTTCAGGAATCCTCAGAAGGAAAGTCAGAGCAGCAGCTGCTAATCATGGACAGTGGTCCCTTGACGCCGCCTGAACTTAGTCCCTAGGCCACAGTGCACACAGAGAGCTTTGGCTCTGTGTCTTTAAAAGGTGTTTTCTAAGGGGTGTTTCCAAATTTCAAAAGTGGAGACCTTCAGAGAATGCGGGAGGCCCTGGAAAGTGTTAAATGCAGCTCTGGAGGCCCAAAGTCCAACTTAAGACCCACCTGCTCACACCCCTCCCTGCTCAAACTCCAGGCCTGGAGGTAGGGAAATACAGAAGCAAAAGCAAAGAAGCCAGCAGGGCCCCGGGGCACTGTCAGCTCTCAATAGGAGCAGTGAAATGATGGGTGTGCAGAAGCAGAGAAAGCTCCTGTGTGTCCCCTTGGTCAAGCTAATCACAAGCAGAACCTTCCAGGGGCTGGCTCGTGAGGCCAGCTCTCTGGAAGTAAGTTATTTGTGGAGCAAGGCCTTGTTGAGCCTCACATTGCACTGTCGACTGTGACAAGGCCCGGTGCTCAGCCTGCAGTGTAACCACAGCTGCAAAGCCCACGTGGGCTCTACTAAGCTTTCCATCTCATGTGGGTTCTTCCAGCTACTGATTTTCCAAAAACCCTGGGAGGCTATTGTGGGGTCTGTGGTCCTACAGGGACTTTGACCCCCCTCTGGCCCCTACAGGTTTGAGTGAGAGAAGCGTGCCAGGTGAGAGTGTACAGAAGAGAAAGTCCTCCTGGAGACAGGAGAGATTGGGGTCAGAGCGAATGTGTGCTACCTAGCCCACTCCAAACAGTGGGTAGCCGTGTAGGAGGCACTGGCCTGCTTCGTCTGGCTCTCAGGACAGGCTGCCCAGCACCCCAGGATTCCCACTGGGACTTACGCAGTGCTCCTAGGTGCTCCCAGTTTCTGAGAGGCTGGCGTCTAGCCGTCTTTAGTGGCAGGAGCCCTCCTGCCCGGAGCCACTCTCAGCACAGAACCAGAGGCAGGTGAGGCTGTGTCACACAGTCAGGGACCTCTGTCCACACTGGGAACCACAGGCACTGGTGAAAATGACCTGCAGAGCCCCTGAAAGCAAGTGGAACGGTGATTCCTATTTGCCTGTTTTATTGTTTTCTAACTCACCAAAAACTTACCCAGCTAGTCAGTTAAGTCAGTACACTGGTTTTCTCAGCATGACTGGAAAGAGAGGATTTTCCGCATCGCTAATTCTCTTAGAATTCATAGCAATCTTTTCAATGTTTTACCTTCAAACGAAATGAAGGGGAGGGGAGAAAGAGGGAGAACTCTAGACCTTACCCACCCTTGTGTCATGTGGACCTTTTATGGAGAGCAGGGTGAAGGGACAGAGCCCAGGGCTGGGGCTCGGGGTCTAACCCCCGCTTGGGCACAAAGGCACATGGCCTCAACCAAGCCCCTCCCCATCTTGGACCTCAGGTTCTTTGTCTTTAAAATAAGGAGGCTGAACTAACTTGTCCCCAAGGCCCCTTCTCTGCTAGTCTAAAGAGATTTCTCCCCAGACAGTCCTGGGCTGGGATGGGGGTACAGGCAGGTGGCCTAACAAGGCTGTGGGCTCCGTCGCCTGGCCTGGGGCTGCTGTAGGGGAACTGGTAGGGCAGATGTTGGAGCAAACTGTCTTGAAGGAAGGGCCTCGGGCACAGACAGGCCCGGTTTGGACAAAGGAATACCAGCCACAGCTTGCTTAGGCCCTGACAACCCAGGTAGCAGCACTGTACATAAATGTGTTTAAAAAAAAATAAAAGCCTTTGCTTTTTTGGCATCACCTGATCCATTCTGATTTGACTGGTGGACAAGGACCACGGGAGACTTTGCCTTTCGGAACAGAAAAGGTCAAATGTATGTCAAAGCCAAGGCTATCACTTATTTGAAAACTTGGGTTGCTGGCCAGCCCTGGATGACCTGGCACAGGTATGCGTGTCTGGGAGGACAGCCTGGGGATTGCAGAGCCCTCGGTGTACATATTGATTCGCAGCCTTCGGGCACTCGCTCCCCACACACCGCCTGCTCGTCTCTCTTCACCCCACCTCGACCAGGCCTTGCGCTCTGTGCCTGTATCAGACGCAGCCAAACTGTAGGTTTCATCTGTGCCTGATGTGGCATGTGAGCCTGCCTGGGGACCAGCTGCTAGGAGGGGCGTAAGTATGGCTGTGCTTTGCTCTTCGCAGGCCTCAGTGTGGGAAACATGTTCTACATCTTCTCCGACGATGGCATAATCATCCTGCACCCAGTGGACTGTGAGATCCAGAGGCACCTCAAACCCACGGAGAAGGTCTTCATGAGCTACGTGAGTGTCTGTGCCTGGGGCATGTCCACCTCATACACAGCATCCTGAGAGGCAGCCTTTCACCGCGTGTGCCACTTGAGTTCTTAAATTCCATCTGCTACATGTGATGTGGCTCCAGATGTGGTTCAAGGCTAAGGAAGGAGCACATGAGGCTTAAACTCTCATTCCTTCCTCCAGCGGCCACTTCCATGCACTGAGCCTGAGGGGAGGCCCGGGGCGGACAGATGGGTTCCTGGCCTCTGCGAGTTCACAGTCAAATGACAGAAACAGAAGTGTGAACAGACAGCTGCCAAACAAGTGCTGCTAGAAGGATGTGTAAGGTGCACTGGAACATTGAGGAGAGAGGCCTCTCCAGACCTTGGGGGACAAAGTCAGAGAAGGCTCCTGGGGCAGGTGATGCCTGGACTCAGCTGTGAAGAACAGGTGGGAATTGGTGATGGGTTTTGAGAGGAAATGTCATGAATATGGAGCACAGGGGCATAAAACATCAGGTCACATTCAGGGAACCGCAAATATTCTCTATGCCTGGAGGGACGAATGGATGTGGGAAGGGCCTCAGATTTAGGATGACAGTAGGTAAGGGTCAAAGCAGAGGAGTTCTCATGGGAAGCACCGAAGAACTTCAGGTGAAGGATGGCCAGGATCAGGCTGCTTTGGGACCTGTGCAGGGCCTCACGGCGGGTAATGATCAGAAGGGTTGCACTAGAAACACAGAAGCGGGTGAAGAGGCTGTTGTGATCACCCGGGTGAGGGCGGTGACCTGGGTTAAGCCAGTGGTGGTGGGAATGGGAAGCACTGAGTAGATTTTAGAGCTTGGAGGCCCTCAGTGGCCTCCAGGGAACAGGGGAGAGAGCTTGAAATGTGTGAATGGCCCACGCATCAGAGCTGCTGTGAACAAATAAGAGGCCAGGTAAAAAGTGGCAACGTGACATGCAGTGGGCAGAGGCAAAAGAGATGATTGCGGGTAGCAGGTCCAGAAAAACCCTTCCAACCCTCAAGACCCAGCTGTCAGGAGGCGTCCTCCAGAGCTGTGCTTCCCCGCCCCACGGCTCCGTCCCTCCCACTGGTATCCCACTTGGTGTTGTGTTGGTGTTTTCTTGCTCGAGGTCTGACCTCTTCTACTAATCCCTAGCGACTTGAAGGTAGAAGTATGGCATTAATCCAAGAGTCATCTAAAAGCCCCCACGTGCCCTCTCCTTGAAGACAGACAGTGGATAAACTGGGACACAGTAATGGGCTTGGAGCTAATGGAGCAAGTGGGCCTGGCCCAGACAAGTTCCTGAAACGAGTGTGTTGCATTGCTGTCCTGACTGGTGGTGTACCTCAGAGCGTCGCATTTCTCACATTTGCAGCTTGGGAGCAGCTGTTTTCCAGGCTATTTCCTTTGAATTAATCATGTTTTAAAGTATTACCTCTGATAAGTTTTCCCTCCACGTGATAGCCACAAAACCATCGAGAAAGAGTGGTCCTAGTTAATTTCCAGCAGTTAGGTTTGAATAATTGTAACCCATCACATTGGCACTAATTTCTCATATATTTGCAGTAACCTAACATGTAGCTTGTAGGGGACATCTCTCAAATGCTAACCAGGGCTCAGTTTTGCGAAGAAACTAGTACAAGACACAGTAAGAGAGGTCTTGTAGGCATTTCAGGCAACACAAGAACTCTGTGAGCTATGGAACAGTCCCAAATAATATTTTCCTCATCTAAAAAATGTCTAGAACCTCACAGGAGGGTTACAATGAGCTGACCCTCCTTCTCAAGTGCTGAGTGAGTAGGAGGTTGGCATCTCATCTCCGGCCCCTCTGCTGGATGAGATGTCCACTTTGCCCAGCAGGAAGTGGCAGGATTAATAGGTTAAGGGCACAGGCTTTAGAACAGGATCTGCACAGGTGGGTTCAGGTCCCACCTCTGTCACTCAGCAGTCTAAGTGGCTTTAGAAAAGTGACTTAACCCCTCTAAGCCTCCGTTTTCTCACAGGCAAATTGGGGTTATTGTGAGGATTAAATGTGATGACAGAGAGTGGCGAGTGTAAAAGGAGAAAGACCTGTTTCAAAGCTATTGCAGCCATTTAGGAAAGAAACGGGGCTGGAGATGGAAAGTAGAAGAACTCCGAGATTTAGGAGGTAGTCCTCCTACCTCTCTGCAGTCCTCGATGACTAATTCACAGTGACTTGTGTGGGAGAAGGAAGAATCAAAGATGGTGTTCCTGCTTTGGACTTGGCTGACCAGATGGTGATGAGGACCCAGAGGAGGAGCAGGGATGGAGGCGAGGACCGGTTCAGATGTGGATGGTTGTGTATGAGGTGACTGTAAGGGAACCATGTGGGAACTGGGGAAGGTGGTTCTGAGCTAAAGACACATCTGGGAGCCATCAGCATGAGGGTACTGACGAAAGCCCGGATGGGAGACCCGATCGCCAAGGGTGCGTGTGAGTGATTTGAGTCAGGTGCCTAGCACAGAACCCTGGGAGGCATCAGCAGTTAAGGGGCAGATGCACCGAGAGGAACCACAAAGGTTGAGACAGTGTTGGACAAGAGTCATGAGGAGAAACATGAGAATGTGTATCATGGAAGACTAAGGGAAAAGGTCCCCTTTTCTCTCATTTATTCATTCAACAAATATATTTTAGGCACCAATTCTGTGTCAGGCGCTTTACTGGGTGCTAAGAGTATGGCAGCAAGCCCAACGAAGAGTGTGCTCTCAAGGTTATTACTATCTGGTGAAAAAAGAAAGACTAAACGTAGGTAGACAAACAAACGCAGAAGGTCAAGTGGTAGAAGAGAAACGCAGCAAAGGTGAGGCAGTGAGGATGCCGGGGCGCTAAGCTAGGTGAGACCAGAGAGGGTGTCTCAAGAAGACGACACGTAAGCTGACACCCAAAGGACATGAGGAAATAAACCAGGTAGACACCTGACGAACAGCCAGCTGCACAGGCCCTGGTGCAGGAGGGCGGCGTGAGTGCAGAAGAGCAAGCATGCCGTGTGCACAGGATGGATAGGAAAAGGAGAAAAAAGGCAGAGATGGACAGAGGAGCCAGAGTGTTCAGGGCCTAGTTGGCTTCAGGGAAGACTTGGACCCTGTTCTGAGCAAGAAAGAATGTTACTGTGGTGGAGGGAGTTGAGCTGACTTGTATTTCACAGTGATCCCTGTGGTTTCTGTGTCAAGAACAACTAGCAGGAGGCCAGGGTGGAATCAAGGAGCATAGTCTGAATGCTGTAGCGGTTACTCGACGGACAGATGTGGCTTGAGCCAAGGTGACAGAGGTGGCAGTGGTCGGAAAGTTTAATTCTGAATATATTCTTGAAGGTAAAACTGAAATGATTTTTGATGCATTGGTTGAAGGCTGAGGGCATGGGGAGAGAAAGCAGTCAAAGATGACCTGAAAGGTTTGGTCTAAGGAATTAAAACAAGGGAGCTGCCATTTATTTGAGTGGAATGAGCAGGATTGGGAGGCAAAATTGAGAGTTGATTTTGGACTTATACATTTGAGATGTAAATTAAATAGCCAAGTAGACCTAGGAAGTGGCTAAGTCTAGAGTTCTGAGAAGAGGACTGAGCTAAAGATATGAATTTGGGAGTTGTAAGCACATAGATTGTGTCTAAAGTCATAGGCGTGGTTAACAAAGATTAGCAAAGGGAGTGGATTTTAGAGAAGTCGTCCAGGAGCGACCTCTGAGCATCCCAGCATCTAGAGATCAGCAAACAGTGTAGGACTGAGCAACAGAGAAGGATCAGCCAGTGGGGAGGATGGAGGGAAAAGAGCCAAGAAGTAGTCAAGACGCTGTCAGATGATGCCCCAAGTTCAAATAAAATGATGGCAGAGCTTAAATGTAATAACTGAGAAGTCAGCCTGGAGCTCAGTGAGAACACCACCAGCTCTGTGCTGAGGACTAGAGCCAGGGGATTAAGGAACTTGTGAGAGGTGAGGAAGCCGAGAGTGCACAGGTAATTCCTTCAGGAGTCTGGTCATTGACAGAAGTTGTTTATACGATGGATGGGGATGAGGAAAGGGAGAAGGTAGCTCACAAGAGTCGAAGAACACGGACCACGCAGCTGCTGATTGAGAGGCTGGCAAAGGGAGCTACAGCCTCAGTAAGAGCAGGAGGAGGTGAAAGATGAACGAACGTGGAGTGAAAACCTGGTGATGCGGGAGGGCTCACGTGCCGTACTCTTTGGATGTGAAGAATTCTGAGAGAGGAAGAAAGGGATAGAGCAGGGTCGGGGAGAGGGAACCCAGCGATGATGGGGGAACAGGAAATTAAGACGACATATGGCAACCTATCTCCTTTACAGGAAGAAATCTGTCCTCAAAGGGAAGGAGGCGCCACCCAGCCCTGCCAGTGGGCCTCAGCAGTGAATGTCAGGCACCGCTACATCTATGTGGCCCAGCCCGCGCTGAGCAGAGTCCTCGTGGTCGACGTGCAGGCCCAGAAAGTCCTCCAGGTACATCTCTCTGAGGGAGGGGGGAGCTTCCAGTTCTGGGGCACAGCCGGCCACATCCTTCTTTGTTTTCCACACACACTCCAGCTCCTAGGAGAGGTGGTCAGAAGTGGGAGGGAGCAAAGAAGATTCATGCGCATTTTTCATCAAGTATTTATCGCCTACTGTGTGCCAAACTTTGGTCTAGGTGCTTGGAAAATAGCCATGAATGAGCAAGTCCTAGAAATTATATTCTAGCTGGGGAGACAGACCATAAATCAGAATTTTAGGGAGCTATAGATGGTAAGAGCTATTTACAGGTTGAAAGGGACAGAGGAACTGGAAGACTATTTTTAAGTGGGCCTCACTCTGGAAGTGAACAGAATCTGAGATCTGAATGCCAGGTGGGACTCCCGCTCTGGGAGCAGAGAGAAGGCCAGTGGGACTGGAGCACAGCCAGGAAGGGGAGAGTAGGATATGGCGAAGTCAGGGGTAAACAAAGGCCAGTGAGATAGCCAGACATTCACGTGTTTTAATTAGGGGAGTGACATAATCTGACATTTTTAAAGAGTCAGTCTGCTGCTCAGTTAAGGGCAGACTGGAAGATAGAACAGAGATATTAGTCACTGAAATAATCTGGGCAAAATGATGACAGCAGTGGAGGTGGTAAGAAGCTATCAAAGTCTTGCTATATTTTAAATGTAGACCCCAAAAGATTTTCTGCTCGACTGAATGTAAGGTTTGAGGGAAAGGAATAATAATAATTGTAATAATAATAATAATTTAAGCAACTGTAGAATGGTGATGCCATTTACTATGTGTCGTGGGATGAATAATGGCCCCCAAGATGTCCACATCCTAATCCTCAGAACCTATGAATGTCACCTTATATAGCAAAAGGGATTTTGCAGGTATGATTAAGATTTTTTTTTTACTTTACTTTATTGGTGTATAGTTGATTTACAATGTTGTGTTCGTTTCTGCTGTACAGCAAAGTGAATCAGTTATACATATATCCACTTTTTTTTAGATTCGTTTCCCATATAGGTCATTACAAAGTACTGAGTAGAGTTCCCTGTGCTATACAATAGGTCCGTATTAGTTGTCTGTTTTATCTATAGTAATGTATATATGTCATTCCCAATCTCCCAACTTATCCCTCCCCCACTTTTCCCCCCGCCATAACCATAAGTTTGTTTTCTACCTCTGTGACTCTATTTTGTAATAAGTTCATTTGTATCATTTTTTTAGATTCCACATATAAGTGATATCATATGATATTTGTCTTTCTGTCTGACTTACTTCACTCAGTATGAGAATCTCTAGGTCCATTCATGTTGCTGCAAATGGCATTATTTCTTTTTTATGGCTGAGTAATATTCCATTGTGTGTGTGTGTGTGTGTGTGTGTGTGTGTGTGTGTGTACGTACATGTACATCACATCTTCTTTATCCACTCCTCTTTTGATGGACATTTAGGCTGCTTCCATGTCTTGGCTATAGTAAATAATGCTACAGTGAACATTAGGGTGCATGGATCTTTTCAAATTATGGTTTTCTCCAGATATATGCTCAGGAGTGGGATTGCTGGATCATATGGTAACTCTGTTTTTAGTTTTTTAAGGAAACTCCATACTGTTCTCCATAATGGCTGTACCAATTTACATTCCTACCAACAGTGTAGGAGGGCCCCCTTTTCGCCACACCCTCTCCAGCATATATCATTGGTAGACTTTTTGATGATGGCCATTCTGACCAGTGTGAGGTGATACCTCACTGTACTTTTGATTTGCACTTCTCTAATAATTAGTGATGTTGAGCAGCTTTTCACATGCTTTTTGGCCACCTGTATGTCTTCGTTGGAGAAATGTCTATTTAGGTCTTCTGCCCCGTTTTTGATTGGGTTGTTTGTTTGTCTGATACTGAGCTGCATGAGCTGTTTGTATATTTTGGAGATTGATTCCTTGTCAGTCGCTTCATTTGCAAATATTTTCTCCAGTTCTGTGGGTTGTCTTTTCATTTTGTTTATGGTTTCCTTTGCTGTGCAAAAGCTTTAGAGTTTCATTAGGTCCCGTTTGTTTATTTTTCTTTTTATTTACATTACTCTCGGAGGTAGATCAAAAAAGGTCTGGCTGCACTTTATGCCAGAAGGTGTTCTGCCTATGTTTTCCTCTGACAGTTTTAGTGTTTGGCCTTACATTTAGGTCTTTAATCCATTTTGAGTTTATTTTTGTGTATGGTGTTAGAGAATGTTCTAATTTCATTCTTTTACATGTAGCTGTCCAGTTTTCCCAGCACCACTTTTGAAGAGACTGTCTTTTCTCCATTGTATATTCTTGCCTCCTTTCTCATAGATTAGGTGGCCATAGGTGTGTGGGTTTATCTCTGGACTTTCTATCCTGTTCCATTGATCTATATTTCTAGTTTTGGGCCAATACCATACTGTTTTGATGACTGTAGCTTTGTAGTATGGTCTGAAGTCAGGGAGTCTGATGCCTTCAGCTCTGTTTCTCTTTCTCAAGATTGCTTTGCCTATTTGGGGTCTTTTGAGCTTCCATGCAAATTGTAAACATTTTTGTTCAAATTAAGGATTTTTAAATGGGGAGTTTTCCTGGATTATCTGGGCAAGCCCTAACTGCAAGCACAAGTATCCTCATAAGAGGGAGGCAGAAAAACATGTGACAACATAGGAGGAGGAGGCAGTTTAAGGACTAAAGCAGGTTTGCTACACTGCTGGCTTTGAAGATTGGAGGGAGAGGCCATAAGCCAAGGAATGCAGCTCTAGAGGCTGGAAAAAGCAAGGAAATGCATTCTCCCTTAGAGCCTCTAGAGGGAGCACTACCTTGCATACATATTTATTCTGCCAGTGAGATTAATTTTGGACTTCTGTCCTTCAGAACTGTAAGAGAATAAGTTTGTGTTGTTTTAAGCCACCAAGTTTGTGCCAATGTTACTGCAACAATAGGAAGCTAATACACTCTGATAGAGGCTTTGAGCAAGACAGGGGATACAGGTCATGAAGCAGATACAGGGGAAAATTAGTAATTCAGCTTTAGATTTGTTAAGCTTGAGCTGCCATTATACACACACACACACACACACACACACACACACACACACACACACATGCAATTGGATAAATAGGTCTGGAGTCAAAGGAGAGGTCTAGGCTGGAGATATGAATGTGGGCATCATCCCCATGTGAACTGTGTTAAATCCAGTTAACTGGAGGAAATCATGGAGGGAAGTACAGATACAAAAGAGGTCAAGGTTGGAGCCTTGAAGTATTCCAATACTTAAAGATCAGGAATGAGAGAGGAAGCCAACAAAGGAGACCAAGAAGGAGTAGCCTGAAAGGTAGGAAGAAAATGAGGAGAGGGTAGTGTTCCACAAGCCAAGAAAAGAGCTTTTTAAGGGAGAGTTAGTGGCCAGTGATGTCAAAGGTTGCTGAAAGCATTTGTATGTTATGAAGACTGAGAACTAACCACTGGATTTGGTACCACATGGATCACCTTGGTGGGAACAGATAGGACTATAATGGCAGAATGCAAGCCTGAGGGGGTGGATTCAAGTTAGAATCAGAGGGAGCAGAGATGGTGGATATAGACAACTATTTTCAGGGGGGTTGCTATAAATATGAGAAAAAGTAGACAAATGAGGCAGCAGCTGGAAGAGGATGCTGAAGGAACTTTTAGAATAGGTGATATTACAGCATTTGTATGCTAATGGAAAAAACTTCTCCCACAATTCTTCCCTTTCTTCTGCATCATCGAAGTAGGCAGTAGTTAGTGGAATCCAGATCATACAAGTATATATGCTAGCCTAAGATAAAAGCACATTCTTTCATCATAACAGGAAGAAATAGAAAGTATTCAGGCACAGGTGCAAATAGGTGATACAACTGGTGATAGCTGGATGACCTTCTCTTCTGGTTGCCTTTATTTTCTCAGTGAAATAAGAAGGAAAATTATCACCAAGGCTGGAGGTCTAAGGAAAGAGGTAAAAGTTGGATGTGAGATTGAACTGACCAGGGAAATGTGATAGGACTGCAGGGCAATAGTGAAGGCCCACTTAAGGATGAGGAGTATAAATGTAAAGTCAGACCAGTGAGGAGGGTTGTATCTTTTTTTCCCAGGAATGCTCAGCTGCCCAGGTGCAGGATCATTGTTGGGAGAAAGTTGTATAAAAATCAGGGTTGTGGTTGTGGTTTCTCCTGAAAAATATGATAGGAGATTTTCCAGCTCTCTTTTTGTTATTGATTTCCCTGGCCAGAGAAAGTACTCTGAATAATTTCAATCCTTTGAAATTTATTAAAGCTTGCTTTATAACTCAGCTTATCAACTTTCATAAATGTTCTATGTGCACTTTAAAAGAATGTGTATTCTAATGTTTTAGGTAGATTTTACATATATGTCAATTATGTCAAGTTGGTTTATTGTATTGTTCAGATATTCTAAGTGATTTTTTTGTCCACTTAGTCTACCAGCTGCTGAGAGGCATGTTGAAGTCTCCCACTGTGATTGTAGATTTATCAAGTTCCATCCATTTTTGCTTTAAAATTATAGTATCTTCCTGGGGAGGGGGGGGGAGACTTCTTTCTTCTTACAAAATATCCCTCTTTATCTCTGGCAAAGCTTCTTGCCTGAAAGTCCATTCTGTCTAATATTAATATAGCTAACTCAGATTTATTTTCATCAGTGTTACCATGGTATAATTTTTCCATTCTTTCACTTTCAATCTTTCTATCTCATATATTTAAAAAGTGATCTCTTATAGAGCCACATGTATTTGGATTTTGGCTTTTATCTAGCTTAATAATCTTGACCTTTTACTTGGATTATTTGATCCATGTGTTTTTGATGTAATTATATGGTTATGTCTACCATCTTACTGTTTTTTTATTTGACCTACCTCTTTATGTTGATTTTTTCTTCTTTTAGCTTTCTTTTGGATTAGTCAAACATTTTTGTTCTACTTCTCCCTCTATTAGCTTGTTGTCCATGCATTCTTTTATCATTGTTGTTATTATTACCACCATAGAGATTACAACATGCATCCTCGCCTCAATACAGTCTCATACAAATTATTGCTTCACTTGCCCAATAATGATAGAACCTTAGAACACTTTGACTCCTTTAAACTTCCTCCTGCCTTTGGCACTACTGTGGGAATGAATTTTAATTCTACATGTAATTTAACCCCACAAGACATGACTATTATTATTATTTTGTACAGTGATAGTCATTTACATTCACCCACATATTTACCTTTTCCATTGCTCTTTATTCTTTCCTGAAGTACATAGTTCTGTCTGGGATCATTTTCATTCTGACTGAACAAGTTTCTTTAATAGTTCTTTTAGTGCAGGTCTGCTGGCAACAGATTCTCATAGTTTTTGTTTGTTTGAAAATTTGCCCTTTATTTAAATTGTTTCTGCATTTTAAGATGCCGTTTCATTATCTTCCATTGTTTTTGTTAATAGGTCAACTGTCAGTCTTATTGTCTCTCTTTTGAAGATAATGTATCTCTTTTTTTCTCTCTGGCTACTTTCTAGATTTTCTCTTTGGTCTTTAGCAGTTTTACGTGCCCAGGTATGGTGTTCTTTTTTTTTTTTTTTTTTTT